ATGGCATATTCGATATGCCAAAACCCAGTAACAATGATGGCGCTTATTCCCCTGCCCCTGAAAGAGCCTCCAATGTGGCACTTGCTAAAATCTCAGGGCTAGAACGAATGGAGATGTTACTGGTGCCTGCTCAAGGAAATTGATGAACAACGGAATGACAGTGACAGTGATACAGTGATTGGTGTCTTTGTCTCTTGGTCACTGTTACTTTTGAGATGCAGAAGCTTCTTAATGTAGTCTCATTGTTAATCTTTGCTTCCACTTGCTTGGTCAATGGTATTTTTTCTTTGAAGATGCCTTTAGTTTCACTATCATTGAGGGTTTTGCCTACATTTTTCCTCCATGTACCTTATGGATGCAGGTCTGATGTTCAAGTCATTAATCCATTTTGATCTGAGTTTTGTGCATGGTGTTAGAGGTCAGAGTTCATTTGTTTACACGTAGCTCTCCAGTTTTTCCAGCATGACTTGTTAAAGAGGATTTCCTTGCTCCATTTCATATTTGTTGCTCCCCTATCAAAGATTAAGTAATCATATATTTGCGGGCCTGTGCCAGGATATTCAACTTTTTCCATTGGTCTACGTGTATGTTTCTAGTCCAATACCATGCTGTTTTAATTAATACCTCTTTGTAATACAGTTTGAAATTAGGGAACATGATGCCTCCCATATTTTTCCCCCCAAGGATTGCTTTAGCTATTCATGGGGGTTTATTGTTCCATATGTATATCAGCAGTGTTTGATCTTTTTCTTTGAAAAATGCCATGGGTATCCTTAAGATAATTCTCCTTGCTTTGTGACCACAGAATGTGCTCAGAATGCCCTTGGGGAGGCCTAAACCTTGCTCTGAAAAATAATATACTTAGGCATTTCTGCTTCTGTATTCTCCTGTCAACTGTCTGCAAATGTCCATCTCCCATCAGGTATTCTATAAAATGAACACCTTGCCTTTGTTTGGCGCCCAGTCTTCCAATCAGGGGGTCTGCTCAGTCCAGTGTAATTAAATCTGACTTCTCCCAGTTCTCAGTGTGTGCCTCTTGGTTTTTCACTTGCTCTTGGTGAGAATTTCTACAAGAGTTGGACCTAGTCTTTCTCTACACTACCAGAGGAAATAACTTTATACTATAGACTACTCCTTTGGTTTTCTATGAGTGTAGAAGAAATTACCTTCAGGGGCCAGAAAGATAGTACAGCAGGTAAGACATTTGCTTTGAACATGGCTGACTTGAATTTGATCACTGGCATCACATAAAATCCCCTGTGCTCCTGTGTGTGAACCCCACCCCCCTCCCAAAATCACCCTCAAATTCAGTAGCTTAAAATAACACCAATTGTGTTAGGGAAATGGCTCAAATAGCTCAAATTCTTTGCATGTAGGAGGCCCAGAGTCAATTCCATGTACTACATTGCTCCCTGAGCACTGTCCAGTGTAACCCTAAGCCTCCAAACAAAATGAGTAGTTGATTCTTCCTTGGGTGGGTTCTTTCATATATGGTGGTTCAGAATGTATCACTCTTATACAAACCTGTGGCATTAGGGCTGATAACACTAAAAATGCAGGAGCTTCAGTGGTGTCTGTCTCTATTGTTATGTGTCCTTTTCAATTTCAGGTAGCTATATTTCTTTTATAGAGATTTCCAGATTTGTTGTGATATTACTGATATCTGCTATTGTATAAGTTTAATATTACCATCTTATTTTTAGCTGATATCTCCATTATGTGATATAATTACCATTTATTTGTGTGCGTGGTAAAAAAATTGAAGATCTTTTCTCAGCAATTTTCAAGTACATAGTATATCTATAAGCACAGTGTTGAGCATTAGATTTCCAGAGCCTATTTATCTTATAACTGGAAGTTTGTATTCTTTAACCAACATCTCCTCATTTTCCCTAGCCTATAGAAACCACCAATTAATCTTTGTTTCTGTGAGTTCAACTTTTTCAGATTCCAACTATAAGTGAAGATAACAGTGCTTGTCTTTCTCTGTCTGACTTATTTTACTTAAGACAATGGCCTCAAGAACCATCAGATTGTTGCAAATGACAGAATTTCCTTCTTTTTCATGATGAACTAATATTATCTAGATAGGTACTTTTATATAGCATCTTTTATATTTTTGGTTTTGGAGTCACACCTGGCAGTGCTCAAGGGCTTACGCTTAGTTCTGTAATTGGGAATTTTCTCCTGACAGTGGCCAGGGGATCATGTGATTCTGGGGATAAATAATGAGCCTCCTGTAGGCCAAGAATGTACTCAGCCCATTGAGTCATGTCTCAATACCAGTTGCTACCACGTGTATAATGTGTATCAAGTTCAAATCTGGCAGCTTGGTCATCTCTCTTCCCCAGTATGGCAATTCCAGTGGCACTACAATTAGACATGGGTAAGCACCACAATAAAAGGTGATTGCACCCATGATTACAATAACTAAAATGCGATGTGAACATTGTGTTTAAGAGTTTGATGCCCTGCAATTGTATGTTTGAGCAATCTCAGTGACACCTCCTTGGTGAGCTCCAAAACCAGAAAGTGTTTACACATTAGAACTGTGCAAGTGTATAACCCTCAGAACTATGCAATGTGCACCCCTCAGTCATAGCAACCACACCATCAACAGAGAGAAAGGAATGGGGATTTTAGAAAGCAAATAGAAAATGAGCAAGAATAAGGGAAGAACTAGAAACCTTTTATGACCTCAAGTCATAAGTCATATGGCCTCTTTGGCATATCCCTTTCTTTGTGTGCGTGTGTGTGTGTGGGGGCATACCTAACAATGCTCAGGAGTTACTCTGTATTGAGTGGCTGTATTGAGTGTATCTGAGTGGCTCTGTATTCAGGAATTACTGCCGGCAGGGCTCAGGGGGCCATAGGGGATGCCAATGATCAAACCCAGGTCAGGGCTATGCAAGCAAGTGCCCTATCCAATGTGCTATATATCCAGCTCTCACAAAGTATTCTTTTAAGCAGTCTCAAGGGTCCACTGAAGTTCAAATGGAAGTAAACATACATGCCATGTCTTGGTGGGGAAGTGGTAAGGTTTGAGAAGGGCATGTGGAATTGAAAGTAGGGTTGCCATCATGTTTGCAAGATAAGATCAACCACAAATACTGTCTTTCCCTCCTGAGTCATCCATTCTCAGTGTAAGCTGCAAACATTTTTGTTCTTTTATTTTGGGAACCCAAATATTAAATGTGATAAATATGGTCAGTTCTTTTTTTAAAAATCAAGTATGTATCTTAATGAGTCTTCAGAAATTGAATCAAGTTTTCTATTGTTGTCTATCTTCCTCTGTGGCCATGCAGGTTTTTAGTATTTGTAGTTTGGGGATGGAGCCAGCATAGAACTTCAGGGTATATGTGTTTTTGAAGGGTTGGGTGATAGTCTGTAGAAACTGAAAATTAAACTAGCTAAAATCTAGATGAAAGATTCCCTGCTGTAAAGAAGGCAATGATCAGCTTTGTGGAGTGATTACCTCATCACTTAGAGGGAAAAAAGGTAGACAACTATGCTCAAACCATCTTTCCTCTTTAATGTTATCTCTCCCCTGTTTTATTTATTTTTCGTTTGGGGGCTACACTGTGCTCAGGGCTGTGCTCAGGGCTTATTTCTGGCTCTGCATGCAAATATCACTCCTGGCAGGCTCTGGAGATTATATGGGATGCTGGGGATTGAACCCAGGTTGGTCTCCCGCACGACAATCATTCTACTCACTGTACTATAGCTCTGACCCCTCTACCCTATTTTAAGCACAGTGCTAGGCACTAGGAATACAGAGATTAAGAGCTTTACATTTTTTAAAAAAATTATTGATTTTTAAAGGAACCTTGAGATATACAGTTACAAAGTTGTTCATGATTGATTTTCAGTCATACGATGTCCCAACACTTGTCCTTCACCAGTATACATTTCCCACCACCAATATCCCAGGTTTCCCTCCTGCCAGCCCCTCCACCCCAGCCTGCCTCTATAGTAGACACTTTACCTCTCTCTCTTTCTCTCTCTATTTATCTCTCTCTTGCTCTTTCTCTTTCCTTTCGGACATTATGGTTTGTAATACAGGTACTGAAAAGTTACTGTGTACACCGGTGATTAAGAACTTGATCTCAATTTTACTTCCTTTAACAATATAGGTAGAATCTTCTAGTTTCAGATTTGTTCAAAGAGGGTTTAGCCTCAAGCTCACTTAATAGTTTATTTTCAGAGCTGGGCTTGGTCCTATGAATCATCCAGACTCCCTGGTTATCACAAGGTCACCATAAAAGGGATACCAGGCTAATCTCTTCCTCATCCCCCCTCCCTGACGTGGAAAGTCAAGTGCCTTCTGGTTCAACCCTCCTTGCTAAGTGGGTTAGCCTCATAGTCAAGAATAAAAAGTCTCTCTATCCCCCAAGAAGCGATGGAGATATTTTAGCAAGTTCCCCATCCCAACCCCTAATAAACCTCACTTTGTGACAGACGTCAGGAGAAATTTGAGTGAAGTCGGGTTAATTCTGGGAAGCCCCAAAAGGTGAAAGGCACTCAGAGATGCGGAAAGAGAGAAGTAGGGAGGAGCGTGGCTTTGGGGCTCTTGGCTTCTCCTGGAGCCAGCCACACATCTTTCCTGGCGTCTGTACATATGCCTGTATTTAAACACTGCGGTGGTGGCCTCAAAGCCTGAACTAATACTCTTAGAGCTGGGGAAATCCAAACCGCCGCTACCGGGCACCGGCGCCCTCTGGCGTTCCTTCAGGAAGCGCAGCGGCGACTGCCCCGGGAGCCGATCCGAGACCTCTGGCCGCCTGGCCAGGTAAGCTAGGAACCATGGAGTGATCCGGAGCAACCACGGGCTGGCTACTGCAGGGGCACAGGGAGGCTCCAGCCTGGCGGGCCTGGGCGTCCCAGGCGGTGCTCGGCCCAGCGCGGCTGGGGGCAGAACAGGTGCGCGGGTGTGGGGCGGAGCCTGGGGATCCTGCGCACTGCGCGTGCCCCACCCCCACGCGCGGCTCCCCGCGCAGCCCCCGCCCCGACGCGAGCAGGAGGAGGAGCTGAGGCAATCCCCGCCACTCTGGCAGGTCCGCGGCGCCGCGGGAACCCGCCGACGGCGCGGGTAGCCGGTCCCCGCGCCCCAGAGGTGCGGGCGGCCGGGGGACCATGGAGCAAGGAGACGCGCTGCGTCCTGGCCCGGGGCTGGCGGCTCGGGCGCTGCCCCCGCGGCTAGCGCTGCTGACGCTGCTGCTGCTACTGATGGGTCGGGGGCTCCATGCGGTGGCCTCGGCCTCCTCCTCTGGGGCGGCGGCCGAGGACAGCAGCGCCATGGAGGAGCTGGCCACCGAGAAGGAGGCGGAGGAGAGCCACCGGCAAGACAGCGTGAGCCTGCTTACCTTCATCCTGCTGCTTACGCTCACCATCCTCACCATCTGGCTCTTCAAGCACCGCCGTGTGCGCTTCCTGCACGAGACAGGGCTGGCCATGATCTATGGTGAGCACCCGCGATCCGCGCCCACCACCCCGACACCCCTCCCCGGGCGCCGGCACTGCACCCTCCCCGCCCCCGCCCCACCGCGCTGCTCAGTGCTCCCCCTTCATTTGCTGGTGTGTTTAGTTTCTTTTCCGTTTCCCCGAGGCGACGGGGTTGGTTCCCAAGGTCAACTGTCAGCACCTGCGGGCTTGCCTTTAGCGATGAAAAGAATTCCACCCTTTTCGACGTTTCTTTTTCTGGAAAGCAGGAAAATGAAAGGCACAGAGGTGGCCAAGTTCTGGTCACCCGGTTCTGTCTCAGTTTCGGTCGCAACCCCACCTCCCGCACTCCGCATCGCGCCCCTAATTGCCCGCCCCAATTAGTTGAACGGGTTGTGTGGAGTGGGGTGGGGGGAAGGGCGAGAGGGGGGCGACTTTCCAGGGGGACACACCACTCTAGGAAGCACGCCACAGTGCGGGTGAGGGCTGAGGGTTTCTAGACTTAGATATGAGCTGGCGGGGCCTGGCGAATGCCAGCGGCATCCGTGGTCAGCAGGGTGGATGCCCACTTCTGAGATGGGCATTCCAAGGTTTCCTTAATAAAGTCAGAGCATGCATTGCAAACAGTAAGCACAGTTCGGGATGCTAAGTGGGGGCCCTAGCAGAGCCGGCATTGTCGGGGAAGGGGCATGCCACCGGTCCTTTTACCCTCCTGGGAAGTTTTACTCAGTTGTCTTTTTTTCAAGCCCAGAGGAGTTTTTGGAAACCTCGCTGAGACTTTGAAGCTAAGTTTGCAAGTGAATAAGGAGGAAAAGTAGTGGTTTTAATTCTGGAGTCTGCCTTTTGTTATGGAGGTGGGCTGAAGTCAGTAGCTCCTGGATATAATGGCACCCAGCCTGTTTTGTGCGTGCATGCCTGTGCAAGGGTTGCTACAAATATTGTTTGCATGCTTGTCAGCTGCAACTGAAATCTTCCCTCTCTCTTGCCCAATGGTCCATTGTCCCTCCACTCTACCAAACTGAACCCTTTGCGTTTAATTCAGCAGAGTTCAAGGTCCAAGTTGACATCTTCCTGTGAAATAGGCAAGCCCATTTCATGACTGTTCCCAGTCGGGAATATTTTACTACATCACTTATACTAGAAGGATCTCTCCACTCCATTTCCACTTAGGATTCCCTGATAGAGAGAGAATGGAAAGCAGACACCTTAATCTTTAATGTGAAAATTACCTTTGATCCTGGGCCTTGCTTCTGTATCAGTCATTTACAGCCCAGGCTCATAGCCATCAACCAAGGTTAGCAGTCCTCTAGTTTTAAGGGGTAATGGCTTAAACAGACCTTGAATTGAGAGTGTCAGGTCTAAAACAGTTTGGTTATTGCACATTATTGTGCGAACTTTGGCCTCCATGCCTGACCTGTATACCTGGCCAGTTTTGATCTCGCTGGTTCATGACAGTAGGTGACAAATGACAGATACCAGGTCTGAAGGCTTGCTGAGCAGAGAGAGGGGGAATTGAAGCCTGATGATGTTTCAGATTGACTCTGAGTGACAATGCAGATGAAGCTGGCCTTTATGTGTATATAGATAGATAGCTATGAACATTTTTGAAATGTTATAGCCTCTAGATACAATTCATTAATGTACAATGTGAATACGCATAGAAAGTGGATTTGATGGGATCATAAATACATGCTCAAGCATATGGAAATTTATAAATGGACATTCATAAACCTTTCTTTCTTAGGAGTATTCCATGTTCTTAGGAACTCAATTTTATCTCCTAAGGCTTAAATTTAACAGTGGAATTTTCCTTTGCTGACTTATATTTTTTAAACACAAGTCAATGTTTCAGCCACTGGAACCTGTTTAATTTTGTGTTAGCGAAATGTGCTTTAACTCATGACAATTAAGAAAAGGCAACATCATCTGTTGTAATTTTGTTCTGTCATGGGGAAGTGTTTTAAGGATTTTAGTAAGTATATATAAGTTATGCCAAATATTAGTATTTTGATGTACATTGCCTGTAACTGTGAGAAAACATTTCTCTCTTTGCTTTGTCTTTTGTTTCAAGCCCTCTTATTTAAATTCTAGTGTCATTTGCTTATCTAATTTTTCATTATCTACTGAAAACTATTGGAATTGAGATTCTGATTTTAAAATTTCATTATGAAAATTTTTGAATATAAGTAAATTTATTACAGTTTTTCAGGACTTCTCTTTTTTGTAATAGCAGGAAATCAGATTTTGTTTTTTGATCAATAGAGGAAGTGAGTAATTGTCCTGTTGCTTCTGAGTAACAAAGATGAAAAAAAACCTAAGGAAACACTTGGAAAAGGTGTTGGGTGTCCAGTTTAAATTCTTCAGGTGAGCATTTTAACTTTGAAAGGTTGGCACTTAATTTTACACTTGCAAAGGTCACTATAGGCTGTGTTCAGAGGGAACCATGCATTGTTGGGAATAAAACCTGGGACTTCATATATGCAAGGCATATATTCTACTTGGGCTGGAGCGATAGCACAGCAGGTAGGGCGTTTGCCTTGCATGCAGCCAACATGGCCGACCCGAGTTCAATGCCTCCGCCCCTCTCGGAGAGCCCTGCAAGCTGCTGAGAGTATCTCGCCCTCCGTAAAAGCCTGTTAAGCTCCCCGTGATGATATGCCAAACATAGTAACAAGTTTCACAATGTTACGGGGCCCACTCTAGCAAATCGATGAACAACGGGAGGCTAGTGATAGTGATATTTTACTTGCTTCACATTCCCAGCCCTAAAGCTTAATTTTGATGAATGAAAGGTTTCAACGGTGACTTTGAAAATTCCGTACTATAAAAAAATTTAAATGTCAAATGTTTTTCAATTTAAAAAAATATTGAAAACGTGACACTTTGATTTGAGAAAGAAGCTTTAATATTAAAAAATGTTATATATGTGGTAATAGTAATGTTACACATTAAAACAAATTGTGAGCGTATATGCAGCTGTGGATATACTCATACTTACAGACTACACAAGGCCATTGCATGGCCTTCCAGAGATATTTTATGAGCTCCTTGTGGAGGAGGAGTCAGTGGCTGTGACTTTGGGGTGGGGGAGGGGTACACTGTATACCTTTTTGTGCATTTTCAGTTTTTGAATTATAGAAATGGAATCAGCCAAAAGTGTGTTCATGCCTCTGTTCTGTGGTATTGTGATCACAATTTCAGATTCTCTTGAAAGCATCCAGTGTGACTGATTCCCACTTGGTCCTATTCTATTTAAATCACACTATGTTGTCAGTTTTCTATGACCTTTCAACTGTCAGCTCTGTGCATGAAAGTTCTGGACCTGTTCCTGGAAAGGACACAAAGTCAGGAAAGAGCCAGAGATTCTCCTTCTTTACCTTTTACCTTCATTTGATCCTAGTGTTCCGTCTAAATTAGTTGCATTAGAATTGGAGTTCACTCACTAAATCTTTCCCATAAATGACCTAAAGGACAGTGAGAGACACAGTTAAGTGCTTAATATTATGATTGAAAGTAACTCCCCCATCTACCAGGGGACAGTTGTGAGCTCCATGAAAACAGGCCATAAAACCACAAGGGGAGCAGTGACCACTTTCTCTAGGGAAAGTGAAAGCAGACCCCTAACTCCATGATGATGAGGTAACTGCATGGCAGTCTGTGGCTAGGTGCTTGCCTGGCACCAGTCTAACCTGTTTTGTCAGGGCAGGGAGCTCTCAGCTGTCTCACTCTGTACATGATTAAATGTCGTATTAAAGCTACCAGGTCCAGCATGTCTGTGTAGCAGAAATAGCAAGTGTTTGAGGCAGGGAACAGTGGTCTCAGCAGACTGTCAGTTAATTGTGGTTGTCTCTCCTGTATACTGTAGTTCCACTTGCCCCATAATATTTTGTGACAACTGATATAATTCCAAAATATCTAACTTTGCTATTCTAGCCCACCACCTGCCACTTACTTTCCTGTCCACCCTATCAACTTTCCAAGTACATTTTCATCAGTTTGCCCAGTTTTTATGGATCTTATACTCATTGCTTTGTTGGAGTGGGATTGCTAAGCACTGCTGGAGAGTGGGTTCATAGGCAGATTCTGAAAGGAGAAAATGTGACTCTTGGCAGTGGCACGGAATTAACATTTGAGCTGGTAAGCAAATATATCAGAACTAGTCTTCCTGGCAAATTTTGAGTCCTTTATTTTTTCAAGAGCCCTTCACTTTCGAAATGGATTGGACCAGGTTCATTTGGTCTCACTTTGGAATCAGAAGCCCTGGGTTCAAATGCTAGCCTTTTTACTTCTAAAGCTGTAACATTGAGAAAACTTTCTAAGCCTGACTTTACTCTTTTGAAAAATAAGAAACAATGACTATCACCCCACAGGATTATTATATTATTGAGATAATGAAAAGTTTAAGTACAGTCTCTGGTACTTAGATACTTGGTAAACATTAGTTCTCATTATCAGTTTACTTTTGCAAGCTTCACTAATTGAAGTTCAGAAGAGATCTGTCATTTGAAAATGCAGTAGAGTACAATAGTGGCATGAGAAGAATCACAGTTTTTGTGTGGGTTATTTGTTTCATAACTTGAAAAATGGACAGTATATGTACTGTATTTTTTTACCCAGAGGTCCCAATTTTTAGAATTTATCCTTCATAAATATTTGGACCAGCATGTTCCATTATGAAGACAGATGTAGTTACAGAGGAAACAAGTCACAATACTCATTAAGATGGGGTTGATTAAATTTAGCACATCCTTATTAAGAAATAATATACAGCAAGTGAAAAGGGTGTTTTGAGATGTTCACATATAGGGAAAATAGTGTGCCTCTAGTATCTCATTTGTTTAAAATTGCATAGTGTATATACATAAACATGGCATATATGAATTTTTATGTTAAGTGTGTTTTTCTGAAAGGATATACAAACATAGCAGTGGCTATTTTGGGAGAAATTGTACCAATTGTTGGGAGGGAAGGAGGGTTTTTACCTTTTCTATTTCTTTTTTTTTTCTTTTTTTTTTGCTTTTT